GTGCGATTTTGGAAGTGCATGTTTTTTCATGACCTGTGCGATTTTGGAAAAGCCTGTTTCTAATGGAATGTTGTGATTTTAAAATGTAATTAATTGTATGGTAAGTGACTCACTATGTTTATACTAATTTTTCGATGGCTTTGAACTTATTGTTCGAACACGGACGTGATGAAGCTAGTGCCATAAACTTTTTTCAACAGCACAATGTTTTGCGAGTAAACCCACCGAACTGTGTAACATGTGGGCGTATTTTGAGTTTTAGTGAAATCCGGCAGGGGGGAGGAGAAAGTTTTTCGCTGTCCAGCGCATAAGAGTGTTAAAATCTCTTTGAGAAAAGACTCATATTTTTTTAACTCCAACTTAAAATTCCATAAAATTTAGCAACTTTTTGGGGGGGGGCTTTTAAAACTCCAGCAAACTCTACACAAGTGTTAGTTGGGGTGAATGAAGAAACCGTGGTGCAGTGGTACCAATATTGTAGAGATATTTGTGCAAACTGGCCAGTAAACAACCCATACGTGATAGGGGGCCCCGGACACATCGTCGAAATTGATGAAAGCCTTGTGGCCAAGCGAAAATACAACGTTGGACACGCTGTGCCTGAGCGGTGGGTTTTTGGGGGAGTGGAAAGAAACACCGGACGGGGGTTTTTGGAACTTGTTCCAGACCGCTCAGCAGCAACCCTACTGCCCAACCTTCTTCGCTGTATAGCACCCGGGACAATCATCCACTCCGACGGGTGGCAGGCATATGTTGGAATAGGAAACTTGCCTGTAATTCCACCATACCAACACCTGACTGTCATTCACGACAGGAATTTCATCTACCCTGTCACCGGCACTAGCACGAACAGGGTCGAATGCTTCTGGAAAAATTGTAAAAGACGATTTAAGCAGATGGCAGGAGTATACCGGAAAACTTCGGATTCCCATCTAGACGAGTTTTTGTGGAGGGAGATACATGGGGACAACGAACAAGCCCTCAACAACCTTCTCCTCCACCTGTCCCAATGGTACCCCATCCCCTAAGGTACGTGTGTGTTTATATAATTCCTTTATTTTTGTCGTTTTTCTTTGGAAAGTGGCTATTCTCACCCGCCCGGAAGTTCTCGCAAGATCAACTCCTCCCCTCTTCTCTCTCTCTCTGTCTCTTTCTGAATACTGTCTATCGGTGTGGACGATCAAATTGACCAAAACAAAGTTTAAAAATGATGTTAAAACACAAAAGTAAATTAATTTGGTTGTCTACAAAGATGCTACGGCTATTTAACTTTTGGCCACCTCTATTCTCACCCGGAGTGAGAATAGTGCAGGCGAGTCTTATGGCTATTCTCACCCGGTGCGCGTTCACCAAATTTTGCGTTCACCCTAAACCACAGAATTCTACACTGTGATAACAGAAAAATTGTAGACTTCTGTGCCGTGAACAAACGTTCCATTACAACTGTAGCCTACTAAAAGCGTACAATTTTGTCTGTGGGCAGTGGAGAGAGAGAGAGAACTTATAGAGAGATAGGAGTAGCGCGAGAATTTCCGGGCAAAACAAAATGGCGACCCGCGTAGTTCGGCTCGATTCGAAAAGTTAAATAGCCGTAGCATCTTTGTAGACAACCAAATTCATTTACTTTTGTGTTTTAACATCATTTTTTAACTTTGTTTTGGTCAATTTGATCGTCCACACCGATAGACAGTATTCAGAAAGAGACAGAGAGAGAGAGAAGAGGGGAGGAGTTGATCTTGCGAAAACTTCTGGGCGGGTGAGAATAGCCACTTTCTTAACTTTTCGAATCGAGCCGAACTACGCGGGTCGCCATTTTGTTTTGCCCGGAAATTCTCGCGCTACTCCTCTCTCTCTTTCTCTCTCTCCACTGCCCACAGATAAATTGTACGCTTTTAGTAGGCTACAGTTGTAATGGAACGTTTGTTCACGGCACAGAATTCTACAATTTTTCTGTTACCACAGTGTAGAATTCTGTGGTTTAGGGTGAACGCAAAATTTGGTGAACGCGCACCGGGTGAGAATAGCCCCAAGACTCGCCTGCACTATTCTAGGGTAGAGGGTGCATATTCCGACACTGTGTGCTATTCCGACACCCCTCGTGGGGTGCACTCCAAAAACAACGAACGGTGCGGAAATACTACAACTTATGCGCGCGGGTCTATTTTTAACCGGCAGCCGAACTATCTTTTTTTAATTATGTGCGTCATTTCTAAATATAGGTGTAATAGTTTTCCCATAAACCCCCAAGAAGTGACACCGCTCTTTTGCGCGTCCAATTTCGAACGTTTTCAAGCTCCGTGTTTCTAAAGCAGCAATATCACAAGTTGAGTAAACAAGTCCTATTTCTTGTGTAAAAGGCTGTATGTGATAAATGAATGTACTAAATGAATATTAGATGATTAAAATTGCTGTTTTCAACAAAATTTGATAGATTTTATTGCTTTAAACTGGTTAAATATGTGCTCAAAAAGTGTCGAATTTCCCCACATCAAAAAATGCCACTCTCAGAATTACGACACCCCTTCTGTCAATAATTCGACACCCCATGCTGCTATTTCGACACCCCTGGTGGTAATGTCGACACCCCCTGTGGGTTATTTCGACACTATGTCAGTAGATTCATTTTCAATACAATGTTATGTATATGACTATGTATCCATTTATGTATTTTGTGAATTGCAGTGTGAATATTATTTTTTGCTCATTTCGTGACGATGTGTAAGCGTGTGCGTGTGATAAGCAAGTAGATGTGTGTGTGTGTGTGTGTGCGTGTCACGCTCCCACACTCACGCACGTGTATGCATGCGGAGAAAATCAGCGCCACACACACACACACACACACACACACACACACATGCAAGAAGACAAAAACA